TGACAGCAACCTTTTTTTCCTCTAAGAAAAAAATAATTATGAATATTATACTCTTATTGCAGCTGTAAGGCATATACTTCCAATGAAGATACAGAAGGTACTACATCTTCTGATCTGATAATAATGATTATTAAGTATGTTTATTTAAATGAATTAGATGTATTCATTTAAATAATAAAGTATGTATATTGAAGATGAACACACTGAAATTAAATTAAGATTTGTAATTGTTAGATAATTTTTCTTGAGTAACCCACTAGTTTATTTCCATATAGCTATGTTTCTATTACCTACTGAAAATGGAATAAGTTAACTCAGCGGCTCCCAACATTTTCTATATCCCGTACCCCTAGAACATTTCTGATATATTCTCGCACCCCTTACAAAAGTTTGAAATAACGGCCAAAAATTATGCGTATACACTATAATTTTGAAAACCCAAGTTTTTGCACCCCCTGGAATATCGTCTCGCATCCGCAGGGGGTGCAAGCACCCCCGGTTGGGAACCCCTGGGTTAACTAATGAGATTACGTATTGTGACATCCTCCTCAACATTCTGCATTCCAACATAATGCATACCATACAAATAAAAATCAACTTATACAATATCATGCAGAATTCTTGTCTGATGGAAATGGAATGCAAAAAGAATTAAGACAACTTACCCAGAGCAAAATATTCAAGCCCTAAGGACGGATGAAAGTGAGGGAAAAGAATAAGACATGGAAAACAGATATTACTCTGTGTTATATGAGATATACCCTTGTAGGAAGAAAGGTGGAAAAAAACCCAACAATTGCCCTTTAGATCTTAGCACACTGGCTAAGGAATTCTGGGAGTTGAAGTCCACAAGTCATAAAGGGCCAAGTTTGAAGACCCCTGTCCTAGAGGTTTCATGTAGATGTAAAAAGCTAAGACGGAGCCTTGAAGTACACCCCAAAGCATGGGTCTAGGATTAGACTGCTTACTACCTACCAACGAACATGGAGCTTATCCCAGAGAAGGAGGGGAACTACAATGACATCCCACTCCCAACTCTCTCAGCTTGTCCAGAAAAATACCAAGATTGATGATACTGAAAGCTTGTAAAATATCAAGGAAGGCCAGGATGGATCCACTACTTCCAATATATGTCATCCAATCATCAACAAGTATGACCAATGCTGTCTCAGTATTATGATTTGGCCTGAAGCCAGATTAAAAGAGATCTAGATAATTCACTTCCTCTAAGTCCTCTGAAGTTGCAAGACAATCACTTTCTTGATAACCTTCCTTACAAAGAGAAATTTGTAAACTAGATGACAATCATCCAGTTTTGTTGAATGGAGGGATAGTTTTTTCATGGAAGTGGCTGAAAGAATATTTTTAGTTCATTCTAGTCTGTTCTCTTCATTTTGTTGATTCCTCCCTTCCACCTTTTGCTAACTCAAAAATGTTTTATCAATAAGTTTCTATTTTCAAGAACTACAGAAGACTTATCCATTAAAAAAAACTTGAAGAAATAAGCCAAATATATTAATTATATGATTATATAAAGTTCATTGAAGCATTTATCTGAACATGGGTAGGCTAATGCTGAGTGGTGGAGAAAAGCATGGATTTGATTCCTATCTGTATTCATCTACAAATCTTCATGTATCCTGCATGAAATTCTAAAACACATTCAGCTGTTGGATACAGTACTGTAGATGTAAATTGGCTGCTATTTGTATATTGAAGGGAACATTTCATTTATCTGACAAAGTGAGCACATATCCTAATAGCTTATGCCACAAGAAATTTGCTTTTTTGCACTACAACATTTGCTAATTTTTTTATTCAGGTAACTAACATACATTATTCCATTTATTAATTCAATTTCTCTAATGCCCTCTTACAAGACTCAGAAGAGCATACAAATAATAAAACACAGTATCACTTCATCATCATAAATCACATAAAATCTGTTAATTCTTCTAGGTTTTTTTCCATTTGCCTCAGATGGCTGTACCCAATTACCAACCCTATCTAAAACTTGCATACTCATCTTGCTGGCCTCTGAAATAATATGCCATCCTTCCTTCCCTAAAAATATCTAGGTTATTTTAAATAGGGCTGCCAAGCAAGAATCCCCAGCTAAAATCAGTCTAGAGAACTATGTGTTCTTCACCACTTTTTCTAACACTTGGTAGGGTAGAACCTGTGCTTGCACCAGCACTTAGTCAAATTCAGTTTTGATCTTGGGTCATCACCACTCTATATCTTTTCATACTCTTAATCTTATGAAATGCCTTAAATAAATCAGTAAAATAATTTGGAATCAGTAAAAAAAAAAAGGGACCTCAAAAGAGCAATTATGTTCAATGCCTTGGTCCTTTCTTTTTTCCAACTAGTTGTGTCACAGAATTGCCTACTAAATCACTGGGAAAATCCTAATGCCACTCAGAAAATCTGCAGGATCCCATAAATGCCTGGAATGGACCATCCTACCTGGATCCTCATTTTATTCATTGGAAAGTTAAACATAACATTACTCTGTAGAGTACATTTTCAAATGAATCCATGTTTGTAAAAAAAAAAATCCAGTTCAAAGGAAAAGGAAAGTCATGTGAGAAGTACAACATATGGGTAGTCTGCATTTAGTGACTGTCTCATTTAGTGACCATTTGCAATTAGGACAGTGATCAGAAAGTAATCTTAGGGCCAATCTTATGACCTTTGAAGGGCTATGGAGCAAAGGAAAGCTGAAGTAATATCATTAGCAGTTACAATTTCACTTAGCGATTGCTTCACTTAATGGCCATATTGCCAGTCTCAACTCTGTCTGCTGAACAAGGAGTACCTATTTTCCATGCACGAACAATTCCACTATGGAACAATTGGATTTCAAGTAGTTCATGCCTAAAGTGAAACACATTTGTTTTGGTCCATAGGATGGAGGAAGGGAGTTGTTTATTCCAGGCAACAGTGGGTTTGGTGGTGTGGGGGGGACAAGAATGGGAAAAAACCAACCCCATTGGAACCAGCATCTAATGGGGGGGAGAGAGAAGGGAAGCTGCTGAGAAGACTGAGAGGGTAGATGAGACCAGTGAGATATGCTAACTGGGGCATTAGCTAAACAACAGCAGTGGGAAAAGACAGCTGTTAGTATTAATATGAAAATACATAAATCTCAATTTTTTTAACGTTAAACATCCCAAATTAACAGAGGCAATATGTAGGAAAAGGGATGGCAGAATTTGGGTGCAGAATGAAAAGGGGGATCAGTCTAGAATCCCTACATAGCCATAAGAGAATTAGGTCCAACCTCCCTTGAGTGCAGTTGACCCTTATTTAATTCTAAGCAGGTGCCAATCATTAGTTGAGAAGATTCCTGTGCGCAGGTTTTTAGCAATAAATCATTTTAATTGAACCTTCATGTGTGGACATGGTCTTTCACACCTGACACAACACTTCTTCATCTCTATATGCCTAGCCAAAAGTTAGTAGGACATATTGCATATTTGTGAAACATGCAATAAAATTTCAATTTTTTAAAGTATTCATTCTCAGAAGAACCTATTGATGCTCATATATAGTAGCACTAGAAAAAGCAACGTTTGGGGAAAAACATCTCCTTAGGAGAAACCCCAAGATTACCTATAATAATGTTCCTGACACAGAAAAATTCAGCACTGTAGAATAAAGTAAATATGCAACTTGATAGTTTCATCAACAGACAGACATCTATTACAACAATTTAATGTAGCAGCAGCAATATTAAAAAGTAGTTTTATTATTACAAGACACTGAAATGCTATAGAGCCTGTGGAACCATGTGAATATAGAAGAACAAGACAGAAAAATGCAGTACACTCTGCCTACCATAACTGTGCTATTTGGAACATATTATTATTAACATTATTAAAAAACCAAACCTCAGGCCTTTTGTATGCCTATCCTCCATGGCGGAAAAAAGGAATTCTGAACTGTAGGCTGTCACTATAACATGCGGTAGTTAGTGATATCACAATTACGTTTTTACACAGCCATAATCATAACTTAAACTGGTTTATTTTATCTTGTCCAAAGCTCTGCAATACATTTAAGAGGAGGGGCTGGTACTGAACTTCTTCTGGTCTCCAAACTTAGAATATTTGGCAGGAGCTTTCAAACAACTGTATCTGAACTGCCGCAGCTTCTTTTTATATTTAAAAAGGGCATACTTTTTATGGGGGATGGATACTTGGGATGGAGAAAAAGCTGGTGAAGAGTTTCCTCTCCCTAACACAGGGGTGTCAAACTGCTGGCCCGCAGGCCGGATGCGGTCATGGTGAAACTGCGCCCACCCATTGCTGGCAATGGAAAAAAAAGTCGCGTGATGTTGCTAGTTTGACGCCCCTGCCCTAACATATATTGGCCTTGTTTCTGACCAGCCTATTTTCTGACAACCAGTCAGACACTCAAGAAATCTTGGGTTCCTAGGAGTCAAAACATCTCATCAGCAATTCTATACAACATTTGGGACAAACCAAGCAAATCTCTTAATCACTAATCAACTTGATGATACCTAACCCTTTGCTTAGCATTATGTGTGAATACAGTTTGTGGAAATGAAGTTATTTTGCTTCCAATATTCATAATTAAATAAAAGTTTGATCAAGTTGAGATAACTTAGCAAGCTGCAGCTAATGTTAACTGGAATTAAAACTTTCTGTCTCCTCTTTCTAGCTGCACTAGCGGGATACAATGGCCCAAAAATAGCCCCAAAATCATTGAAGCTCATTCTCATAGTATGACATTCAGTTTAGAATTATATCAAAACTAAAGTAATAGTATATAAATATTATGTTGGTCTCATTGAAGCTTTGTAGACCACTTGAACAACAAATATGCTTATTACCATCAAATTGTTTCCTCATTCAATATTTCAGTTACTTCGAGAGAACACAACTTCTCCCATCCTCTCTTTATATTTAAATTTTTTCATAAAATTGGTTTTTTTAAAAAAGTATGCATTAAAAATGGAAAATGTATCATACCTGTAATAGGTACATATCCAACTCCTTGCTGATATACCGTTGGCATCAGGACCACTGGCTGGGGCTGCATCATCATAGCAGCTGGTAAAGACTGGATTTCAAACAAGAATAAAAAAAAAGGGTATTTTAAAACATATGCTACAAAAAAGGCAGGCGGCAAGAAAAGTTGTTGCATAAACTCTTCAACTGAATCAGTTATTTACATTACAATTAGTAACAATTTGAATCAATAAATTCTGTAACAAGAACTTAGTGGCACAAGAAAATTCAGGGAAATGCTCCTGAGCCTATATTTTAAAGGAAAGTATTATAATTTTTACGCAGAGTTCCAATTAATTTAATCAGTTTTGGCAAACTTAAAACAGCTTGAAGTATTATTTTAGGTATTGTTTTAGTTCAGAAAATAAAAGAAACATTACTAAATTTCTAAAATGATTTCTGAAGAGCTGCTTGATTGGCTGAAATTCTGGTAGTCCTACTATTTTGTGAACCGTTATGTAAGAGTTCACAGAAAACAATAAGCAATATCTGAAAGGTAAAATTTCTTTGCATCTGGTCTTTATAATTCTTATAAAAAAACCAAACGTACCCTACACACCTTTCTCCTCTTATTTTTCACAACAGTTCTGTGAGGTGAGTTGGGCTGAGTGTGTGTGGCTGGCCCAAGGTCAATCAGTTGGCTTTCATGCCTAAAGCGAGACTAGAACTCGTGGTCTCCTGCTTTCTAGCCTGGTGCCTTAACCACTAGACCCAATTGGCTCTAATAACAGCTTCCACAATAAAAGGTAAGAAATTACATCAATTTATAGGGGGAAATATTATTATATACACTAGCAGATAAATACATATTTTTATTTAGTTAGCAATTTTATAAATTTGATGATATTTTAAACAAGGTGCTATAGGCAAAGAAAGCTTCTATGTTCAAGAATACAAACAATACAGAAAACTACATAACTTTACTATCCCCTATCAACATCCACCCCGTATTATTCATGAAGGCTTTTCAGTTAATTCGAATTTTAGAAATTATTCTAAGAGTACAATAACATAACTTAAAAACTACTTAAGTGATGTGAATGAAATAATGTGCAACATTTGTGCATATGCAATTGAGAGCCGTCTTTATTAAAAATTCTAAAATTTTACTCATTTCCTAAGTTTTCCATGATTTGCTTTGAAGAAAAACTGCCACCATTCCATTGGTATTTCTTAATATATGAATACTCTATAAATTTAAGAAAATAAGTTTGGTGATTCAGTGAAAATTTGGAATGGAAACCTTATCACAATCACATCTGAATAAGTCATTACTAGCTAGTAACAGTTTCTTCCTCCCTTGTTTTCAATTTAACATTATTTTATGATCCATTTATTCAACTGCTAACTAAAACAGCTAGCTTAAGTTGCCTAGCTTACCGTGTAGGACATGACCAGGTTAATCATTCCTTCTTTGTCATCTCCCTGCCTTCCGCTCAGGCTATACCATTCATCTTCTACTTTTCCTTGTTTCAGTGACTCAGGAATAGTAATATGGGTCCAAGCAATGCGATCATCTATTGAAAAAGCTCTCTGAAAAATAGGAGAAAACTAAATAGATGAAGAAGTATATTCCAAAAGATGATTTTCCTAAATGCTAGATCAGATGAGGTTACATAAAATTGAAATCCATTTTTTTTCAAAAGCAGATAAATTTCTTCCCAGGTAAGAAATTACATCAATTTATAGGGGGAAATATTATTATATACACTAGCAGATAAGCCCATAATTTTAGGTGACAAAATACACCCCAAAAATTGAGTTCAGCTTACCTGCTGATGGACTTATCCATATGCTAATACTTTTAAAGCAGTCATATATCTCGTATGTACCTGCATATAAGTCTACCTGCTGCTAAGAAGAGCCTTGAATTTTTAATCAAAATGCCATGAAATTATATGTAGGTGGCTCATCTTCTTGTGATATTTTTTGTGGCATTTTGGTTACAAATTTGAGGGTAAGCTTACTTGCAGACAAAGAATTAAACCCAGACCACATGAATCACATTGGTTGAATTCCTGCTTTAATATGCCCAGCTATATGTACTTTCCAGACAACGTCAAGCAATAGCATGATTATATGAAAAATATTCCATTGCTCAACACATGGGAAAGGTTAGATGTATTTGAGAAGCAAGCTTCAAAACAGATAAAAAAAAACTCTACTTTTGCTCATATATGTGCAGCTAAACATACAAATAAGGCTTTTGTTATTTATTTTTAATCTCTATGGAAGACAAGCATATTTTAAATGAAGTTGCTGAGAATTTTAGTCTCTATGGATAAGATCGGTAGCAATCTTCACTTAATCCTTCAGGAGAAGTAAGAGAAAATTTGAGACACTTCCAATCTCTAAATTGCCATTTAGTTTTCTATAGCCAGATAAATATACATTATTCTTCATGGTATTAATGTTGATTTTTCAAAGGGGACTGACATAGAAGACAATGACTGACAGAGGAAAAATAGTCAATCTTAAAAAGAGAATATTTTTTTTACTATAATAAGTCACCTAGTTTCATAAGTCGTCCTACTATTGCACATTTTTTTTCTTCCCTTCAATTGTGTCCAATTCTTGGAGACTCCCTGGAAAAGTCCCTGCCATTTTCTTGGCAAAGTTTTTCAGAAATGATTTGTTTATACTTCTGTGGAGTGACTGGCCCAAGGTCACCCAGCTTGCTTTGTGCCTAAGGTAGAAATATGGTCTCTCGGTTTCTAGCTTGATGTCTTAACTACCACACAAAACTGATTCTCTAGGACGGGGTGTCAAACTGCCGGCCCATGGGCCAGACGCATCACGAGGAAACCGCGCCCACCTGGCAAATGGGGGGAAAGTTCTGATATGTCGCGTGACGTCATGTGACGTTGCAAGTTTGACATGTCTGCTCTAGGACATGTTTGGCATCGTATTTTCCTTCAGATAAAGCAAAGCAGAGTGATGTATATTTTTTACAGTACAGATTTGAGTGAAGAAAAAGTAAAATGGAAGTTATCACAAACCACACAGAATAGGGTTTCTTTATTTGTGTAGTAATATTAGATATATCTGCAGAAAATTGTTTTTGTAAGTCAGTTACTCAAATAAAATACAATTATCATTGCTCATATTTTAATTCCTGTTGATTTGGAATTACAGGCTTTGGAAATCCAACTGTATGCAATTACATAACACTATCATTTTATACCTTCACAAGAATTCAACAATATGGTTGGCTTTATAGAAGCTTCCTTCTGAATTGAGGAGCATATGAAATAATTACAAACTCAGAAATGTAAATGAGAAAAACTGGAATATAGTTGTAAAGATAATAGGAAGCTGCATTTACTATAGCTACTCTCTGCTTGGCAAAGATACAAGACCAAAATTCTTGGAAAGGAAAAAAGATAAAAAGAATAAGTTTTATAGTAAGTTGTACCATAACAATATCTACTTCAGTTATCATGACAGGATAATAGAAAGAATTTATTTATCAGACTTGGACTAATCCTATACCAAACAGTAGGACTTGAACACACAGTGAGAGAAATATATTAAAACATTTGTAGGGTAAGATCCCAAGAAAATTATAATAGTAATTTCTCTAAGTTTTCCCCAAATCATCAATTACATTCTGCTTTGTGGTTTCCTGCTGATACACCTACAGTGTATGTACGTGGGAGATTCTATTAACTGTCGTCCAATTATGGAAGCAACACAAGTGGGAGGGCTGCATGTATGGATATGAAAAGCAGCATACAGTAGTTGAGAGAAACTGGTAGTAGAGAGGCTAGAGAACTTATCTGTCCAGGCCATGTTAAAAACAATACAAATTCATTCATTCATTCATTCATTAATCAACCGTAAGCTTTTATCCTTCTTGAACAAATAGATTGTAATTCTTGAAACCTGCTGATCAAAATCCTGCATTTCAAATCAGCTGAACCAACACCGATTTACTTCAAAAAATATGACTATTTCACAAATGACTTGAAAAATATCAGAAATTAGTTTGATAAAAGTATGTACATATGTACTCTGATCCAATCTGGAATGATAAGGCATTGTGAAAGTAGTTAAAATACCACCACCACCCTTTTCAATCTTACCTCATCAAATATCTCAAGGTAGAAAGAATCTACCCCAGGAGGGACAGTGCACTGAATAACTTTGTTCCATCGAGGATTTTTGGCTCCATTATGAGCAGTGGGAGTTTCATAGACAGCATAACCAAGTCGTATTCTGCAGTATGGGTCCATGCGCGTCATGCCATAGTTTTTTGCCAATTTTGCCTACAAGAAAAACAAAAACCCAAACCCATAAGAGAAATGAATTTTTAAAGTATTCTATTATACAAATTCCCAGGCTGAAACATCTACATAAGTCACAGTCAACGTATAATGTTTCTCTCAACCATGTAAAAGCTCAATTACATAAATACTGCAATATTGATCAGAACAATAAAAGAAAGTTGTTTTCTACAAAGCTTAAATAAAATCAAGGCCATCCTTCCATAGTGCTCTGGATTGCATACAATGTCGTCAAAGGGGAATATGTTTACGTATGGTATATGGGAATTGCCAATGACAAAATTCAGAGCAATATAAACAAACATTACAGAGAAATTACCTGGCTGAACAAAATGGCCAGCAGAAAATTATACCCCAAATGATTCCAAAAGACTTGTCTTGTCAGAAAAGTTCAACACCAAATGATAAAACTACTTTCTCCTAGAAAATATTCACTATTTTTTCTTAAAATTAGGTTGAACTATCATAACATTTTCATAAAATTAGGTTGAACTATCATAAGTCACAAGCAGAGCTCATTTACTATTCATCCTTTAAAAAAACCTGAATTTAAAATAATCCTTCCAAAAACATAGAAAAGAGGCATTTGGTTAATGTAGAACCAAGCCCTATAAAGTAAAAATCAGAAACTTGAATTGGAATTAGAAATGAAATGGGAGAGCTAGTAAAGAAAGCTGCGGCATGTTTGTATCACTCAGTTCCAGTTTTGCCATCGTAGTATTTTGTATTAACTGAATTTTGCAAACCTTCACGGAAAACTTCATGTATAATATACTGCTGTAATCTAAACAAAATGTATCAGACTATTGAACAAGGCTACCTCCATCCAAGCAGAGGTACAACTATGCTGGAGAACGATGGTTTATGTCACAAAGACCTTGTGTCTCTACTATCAAACATGGATTTAGGAACTCTACCCCCCCATCTCAAGTTACAGCCTTGATCTTTTAAGAGGTAAACTTAAAGCTGTTTGCTATTTTCATTTTCTTGTCTAGATTGAAATTCAGTTTTTTGGCCTTGATTACTGCAGCCAGGCATTTAGTCAGCACTTTTACTGCTTCTCCTCAATCTGATATAAAGTACAAATGGAGCTGACTGCCATTAGCCTAGAGATGGCATTTATTCTTAATCTCTCAATATTCTTATCCAGCTGTTCATGTAGGTTACGGATGTCAAACTCGCCGCGTCACGTGACGTGCTGTATCGCGACTTTTTTTGCATTGCCAGAGCTGGGGTGGGCGCGGCCTCCGTATGATGCAACCGGCCCACGGGCCAGCAGTTTGACACCTCTGATGTAGGCAGTCAACATGAGGGACAAAATGGGACCTTCCAAAACCCCATGGAATAAATATGATGGGGTCAAACAGAAATCTCTCCTCACCATCTTTTGGAGAAACCTATCTAAGTATGGGCAGAACCACTTCAAGTCTGGTCTATCAACACTTTAACTTGGACAACTCCTGTAGAAGGATGTCACAGCTGACAATATCAAAAGCTACTAAAAGATCAAAAGAATCAATAGGGTTATACCCCATAGGTTGCAGTAAAGATCATCCAAGAGCAAGTAAGGGACTTTAGCGTTTAAATACAAATTGAAAGAGCCCTGCAAAAATCTTCATCCAAGAATGTCTGAATCTAAGCAGCTACCAAGTGTTTAGGTACTTTGCCGAGGAAACTGATGTTGACAACTGGACTGTATTTAGATCTTCTGGGTCCAATTTTTTTTTCCCCAGAAGTAGTCTCTGTTAATGAAACTGAGACCAGTCCTTTGTATAGGAAGGAATCCGTAACCTCCTGGACCACGTTTAGATATTTTATGTACCTGATGTTAGATGATTAAAAACCTAATAAAAACCACACATTAGCTAAATGCATATGTTCATAACAGAGACTGATTAATGATTTTAGAGATAGTTTGCACTACTGCAACATTATACAATTCTAAAAATAATTTATGCTTACTACTGCCTATAATTTGTTTTCCCTGTAAGAGCACTACATAATGATTATTAGTCAGGAGCCAGTGATGCTCTTTTAATTTTATCAGTTGGCATAGAAACGTATATTTTAAAGTATACTTTTTAAAATACCTGCACTACGGTGATACTCAGTCTCCCAACAGTACCCATTGCTCCTCCATATTGTAATTGTTGAGCTGCTTGAGCATCTAATTGGATTTGCTGTTGCTGCTGTGTTGGGGTAATACGAAGGAAATCTTGAGGAAGTTCACCAATATATACCTATAGAGGAAAACACATATACTAATTAGATAATACTCTCTGCACTCTCACCCATTCAACTGCCTTTTTAAAATGTACCTATTTCCAATATTCCATTCTTTTCTGATTCTAACCATTCTTTGTATTTCACATATACTATATGGGTCAGATCCTTAACATGATTCCTACAAGGCTGTATGATTCCACTTCATTTTATTTTAGAATAATTTAACAAAAAAGTAAACATACTGCACAACCCAGAACGCTAACTGCCATCTTAATCAATACATGTAGTCTTTGTTTAGCAATTGCTTCAATAGAGGCCGGCTCACAATTATGACTGCGAGGAAAAAGTAACTTGCAATGAATGCATACATTTACAACATTTGCATTGTCTCTCTTAACACGTGTTTGCCATCACAGTATTGCACTGCCCTGTTGCTGACCTGCTTTCTTCTCCTCATCTCAGAGTGGAAAGGTTGCTTAAACAAGCCATCTCTTCCTGAGCTGCTTTTCTCTGCAGCACAGCTCATCCCTAAAAAGTACTAACTGCAAGTTAACAAGCTCAGCTCTATGATCTTAATTACTTGATTAGAGTCCTCTGACTGGCAGCTCAAAAGTGCTAGGCAGACAGCCTGTGTTCATGAATTTCTTTTTGCATATTTCCAACCATGTACCTGCTCATCCTCTTGTAATCCCTTCCTCTCCAATGAATGCAAATACAAACATTAATTTCCTTCTTGCTACTTATCCCAGCCCCAGGGTGAGCATTTCAAATAGTGGAAGAGAGCAGGCAAAAAGGGCTATAAGATTTGCCCTTCTACCCGACTTCCTCACGAGTCAAGTTCTGAAAACCTTCTGTACCACTTGGGCTCATCCAGCTGTTTTACATTGGTTCCTTCTGATACTATATATATATTCAGGGACAATTTTTTAATAAATCCTTTTCAAGATTTAGTATCATCCTGGTTTCTCTCTCTCTGTTCTTGTTCTTTGGTATCCATCCTGCAAATTCTAAACTAAGCATTGACACACAGGTTAATGGCAAAACAAATATAACCTGCTCTTATTTTCATTTGCTTACCCCATACCAAAATGTCCCCATACCAAAGACAAAGGAGAAAGAACTTCAGTTCAGGTGAAATAAGTAGCAAGAAGCAAAGGAAAGATGAAGTAAAGTAATTTATTTTATTTTTTAAATAACAGAAAAAGAAGACAAGAACAAAACACAGAATACATACATTGCCAAAACAATATATTAATGGGTGGTTTTAAAAAGTGAAAAATACAACAGAAAAATACAAAGTATAAAATATAAAATATATGTTGTGTCAACAGTAAGCAGTTAGAATGTAAATATCCAAGTGTATGTATGTGTGCGTGTGTATTTTTCTAATATATGCATATATAGCTATTATGCTTTTTTTAACATACTGTATTTTGTATAAATGAGTTCATTATACTTGTTCATACAAAGTTTACATCTGTAGGCAATCTGCTCATAGTGGCAAGTAATGTAATCAGTTCAGGACTGAATGAGGCCATATATTTATCTTCCCAATGCTTTAATATTAGCCTTTTAGCCATAGTAATGGCATAAAGAATCCATTTACATCCTCTAATTGTCAAATTCCATGTTAACACGTATGTCATTCAAAAGAATATTATCCTTTGAAAATGTGAGCTTAGCTACCCTTCCTGGCACTATATTAACTGTCACTACAAAATTTGGAGCTAAGTCTCAGAATACTCCATAGGCTACAAGCTGCATACATATTGCTAAAATATTTTTTTGGGGGGAAACTATTGTATCCATTTCTATATTCAATTTATTAGTTCTTTATGATTCTTACTATACCCATCATTTTCATGTGCTAATACTCATTCCCAGCACAGCCCTTATTATCATTACCCACATTCCTCATACTCTTTCATGAAGCCTCAATGAAGAAGAGGATAATTGGAACAAGTAAAATATTCTAATACTCTCTTAGATTATAGTATGCATTTATCTATGATTACTAAAAGAAAAACATCTATTGTCATCTAAAGTTAATATCTAGTCTTTAGAGGTATTATATCTGAGAGTATAAATACTGAAATTATTTTCACAGCTGCTACTATAAAGTAAAAATAGTTTAGGTCTTTCTTCCATGACAGATCTTTCCTTTTCTTTTGAATTAGAATTGGGCAACTACATTGCATTATCTGTAATGAATATGTTATAATATATATGTCGTCTTTGATTATCAATGAAGCCACAAACCTCAACAGATGTTCATTTAAAAAAACAGATAAAATACATCTTTAAATTATCTTCAAGTCAGATTAGTATGTTATTTAGAGTGATTATATGGAGTTGCAACATTTGATTATTTATTCGCTTGCCAAAACAATGTTCTAAATGCTAATGGTGAAGAAAAACATGAAAAGGAAGTTATGAATACTATTGAAAATAGTCAATTGTAGGTATGGGTGTTTTAACTGAGAAAATGTTAAAATATGGATGTGGTGATTATGGAACGACTGGGCAAGTAATATTCCTCTAGAAAAAAAATGCACCTTTGACTGACAAGTGGAAGAATGCAATTATTTTCTTGTTCCTCCATATAGGTAGTCCTTGACTTGTGTCTGGCCCCTTAGACCAGGGGTCCCCAATCCCTGGGCTGTGGCCCACTATTGGGCCCTGAGCTATTCGGAACTGGGCTGGGGAAACAGTGAGCAAGCATGTTCCCACTTGTGCAAGCAGCAGGCAAGCACGAGTGCACGCGCTCCATTTACATGAGCGCCGGGCACGCATGCCCACCGCTCATGCAAATGAAGCTGTGCGTGCTTGCCAGCCATTCATGTGAAACCATCCCCCCCCCCCGCTGTTTCACAAAGCCAGAAAGGTTGGGGAACTTTGGCTTTGACAATGACAATAACCAAAAATGGGGGGGGGGGAACAGTGAGGGCTATACCAAGCAAGGGGCTGTAGTTATAGATTTTTGTTATTCAATAATCAGTAAGAAAAGTATGAATATAAGGAAGAAAATGTATATTTCTTTTTTTGATTTAGCAAAAACAACTAATTAAGTAAATACTGAATTACAGAATGACTTCTTCAAAGGTAGGATTGAAGGTTATTGTGGGAAGTGATAAGAGCATTCTACTATAGAAGTAACATCTATGTGAGAATGGAATCCTTAACAAGTGGTTCAATATTAAGCCTGGAGTAAGACAAGGTTAAGTGATGCCCCTCAGCTGATTAACACATTCATGGATAAATATTCATGTAAGGAATGCTCCTGGTAGCATTAGAACTGTGGTGGTTAAGGATGTAGATGTATGTGTCCTATTGCATGACAATTATGTCATGTTGTTAGCTAAATGTCATGTTCTTTAACAGCTGCAAAAATAGAAAGCAGTTCTTTTCCAAGCACAATTCTTAGAGTTCCCTTTACAAAATACATCAAGATGAAAAGAGTATGGGCATTAAGAATTTTAGCAACTGTACTATTTTCAGTTTAGGCCCAACATATCCCCATCTAAATTAGGGAAATACTTCCCTATTATCTTTTCCAGTTTTTTCTATAAACCAATGAGGAGGCCAGTGTCTTTATCAATAACAGACAAGTTTGTAGTTGGTTGTTCACATAGGTCTGTTTGAATCTTCTGAGAACCAACTCAGATATTGAGAATGATGATTGTTGGGTAGATTTTATTGCACAAGAAGAGTAGCTGCAGAAAAGTATAAAAACCAAAAGTAGTTGTTTTATAAATAAAATGGAACAAGCGTCTACAAGTTAAATACAGTACTGGCAAAAAAGTGCAAAAGACATTTATGTGCCTCAGCAGAACATTCAAATGGGGAAAATAGGAAAATGGATTGGAAAAAAAAATTAAGCTGCACAAAAGATAATGAACAGTATATAGACCGTGTTGAAGAATAAATGTCAAACTGAGAAAAAAATTGTGTATATCAGCATGCTTAGTTCTATTGAAGTAAGAGCTGGATGTGTCACGCAAAATGTAAAAGCTGTATGTAGAAATCTATGTGGTAAAATAAGAAGAGAGGGGAGTCAATGGATGGTCAATTGCGGCCCAGAGTTTCTTGGGTAGAGGGGCAGTCATATATGCTAGATTAATTTAAAATATATAAAGAAAAAGTGAATAGGTTAAAAAAATGGGATGGATCGCACTGATGAGGCCAATGCATACAACAGGTGGATGTGTAGAAGCCAGAAGAGAACGATATGGAGAAGTGTAATGAATTGTTTATATATAAACTAGATTTAAATAGATATTTCTTATCTCATGCCTTTAATTTATTTGGTCCACTATTTCTTAGAAAATGTAAATCACAAGCTGATAAATGAACCATACAGATACAAAAGTTTTCTATCTGCACTGTTGGGACTCTTATATATCTTCAAACAAAGAAACAAAAGCATTAACTTTTATATATTTTAAATATTCATATATGTTTTCCCAATCAAATGAAGATGTTTATATTTGCCTAAATACTATTAGTGTGTGTGTGTGTGTGTGTGTGTGCGCGCGCGCGCACGCAGACACACACACACGTGCACACATGCGCCTTCGAGTCACTGTTGACTCCTGGCAATTGTCTGGACTTGCTCTTATAATTTTCTTGGCAAGAATTCCAGAAATGGTTCATCACTGTCTTCTTCCTAGGCGTAAGAGAGAGTGACTAGCCGAATTGCAAAACCAAAAACCCAGAAGCAGAAGTATAGATACAGGAAATAAAAATGTGAGTTAATATGCTATTCTGCACTACTCATTTATTACATACCTCTACATCTAATTATTTGAGAAGCCTAAGATAGTACCAAAAGGCAGAGTTCCCCAACCTTTCCAGCTTTGCGAACGGGGGGGGGGGGGTTTCCCTGCAAATGGCTGGCAAGTGCTCACGCAAGGGGGGATGGGAGTGTGGACGCACATACTCGCCTGCTGTTCCGTGGCCCAACTGCAAACAGCTCACAGCTCACTAGTGAGCCGAGGCCCAGAGGTTGGGGACCTCTGCCATAAGAAATGCAGGATAACACATAAATTTTCTTTTTGAATATATTAAATAGAAATAAAAATGCAGTCAGATATGAGCATCCATCAAGGACCAGAAGGCATAAAGGTGGAATGAAGGTCAATTTTGTATCAACATTGTATTAAAATACAGAAGACCAAATTCATTTATCCTACTTTCTCCCAAATAAGAAACATATTTTATTTGTTTACAGTACTGATATCTGGAATCCTGATATCTGATACAGGGCTAGGCTATTTGGTGTTTGTGAGTTTACCTGTCGACTATGATTTGCTAAATTTAATCCATTTTGGTTCTCTTGAAACGAAACTGAAATCAAAGGTTGAAATAACTACCAGCAAATTGGCTTTCATTATTAGTTTAAATGGGGACAGGGCAGAAGATTAAAAAATCCTAACTTTTCAAAGTTTAAAATACTTCAAACCATTTTTTTTAAAAAAATAATAATCAAGGAATGTGAATGTTCTGAGATCCTAACCTCTATTTTTATGAAATAAACTTTATATATTAATTTATGATTAGAAAGATGTCAGTTCAGTTTCTGCTTAAGGCACATTCAATGAAGAGGAAGCCACCATGGTTCTGGTTAATTGGTGCCATTGTCAGACTGCTCTTACTATTTGATTTTTTTAAAAACATTTAACTGAAATATACCTTCCTGTAATTTACAATCATTATTTTGTCTCCAGCTGTGTAAGGGAATAAGGTTTTGATCTTTTTCAAAGTGACACATCTCTTCGAGATGGGTGGAATACTATAATATGCTCCTTCAGTTATCTTTTTTCAAGGCTAAACATGCTGAGTTTGCTCTCTCTCTCTCTTCTCATAAGACTTAGTTTCCGGTCCTCTGATTATCATTCTGGTTGTTCTTTAAATTGTGCCAGTTTGTGTGAATCCTTTCTAAAACGTAATAGATAAAACTGGACCCAAGACCTAAGGAAGGGTCTGGACAATACTTCTTGTGATTGTAATATTCCTTGAGATTTGGAAATTGTACATTTGTTGATGCAGCCAAAATTTGCATTTGTTTTTTCCATTACACTATTGCCAAGCAGATATCCCCCTTTAGCTTGGTGAGAGCACATTGAAAAAAAAGCAAATACAAGCAGAAGAAATATTACGCTATTTACATTTGTCTCTATTAAAATTAATTCTGCCATTAACTCATTCTCCACCAGCAATATCATCTTCACTTTTATAAATTAATAAATAAATCTTAATAAATTTAAGACATGTAGACTTCAACTCCCAACATATTGGCTGAGGAATCCTAGGAGTCAAGTCCACACATCCTAGTTATCAAGGATGAGAAATATTGCTCTAGAGCAGTGGTTCCCAACCTTTTCTATACCCTGCACTCCTAGAACGTTTCTGATATATTCTCGCACCCCTTACAAAAATTAGAAATAATGGCAATGAATTATGCATATACACTATAATTTTGAAAACCCAAGTTTTCACACCCCCTGGAATGCAAGCACCCCTGGTTGGGAACTCCAGCTCTAGAGTATTAGCTAACTTACCGGTACTTATGTATGGATCATTTACAAACCTATTAAGTATTGTCACCATTTTTTCAACCCAAGTAAAATCCTAAAACTTGAGTTCATACTTCATTGAAGTCTGATGAAAACATGTTTGAATATCATTTATGATATTCAATGGATGCACCTACATACTATGGATGCACCTACTGTACATATCACTACAAAGTCATATCGCTAAACGTCTAATGGGCAATTTTATCGAGCATTTTGTTCCAAACAAATAACATTCCCACAATCTAAAGTTATTTTTTTTAAAAAATTATAATTTCCCATTTGTTAACAAATCCATGCTGACTTCTAATAATCACTGCCATTTCAGTTAAATGGGTTGCTTTATCTATTCTACAATCTTCCAGTACATCCTTTTAAAGAAACATTCAGTAGGTAGAGCAATTCAGTCTCAGAATAAAGGCTACACATAAATTAATCATTAGTGAAGAGCGAAGATATAAAATTATATGTCCAACTCTTGGACAAAAAAAATAAATCCCTTCCCACCCCAAATGTTTGAAAAGGTAAACTGTCCCGGAGATCTGACTATTGTCTTAGATGAAAACAGACATGCTTCTGACTAAGCAGAAATAACTGAAACGAGGTACTTTATTAGCAAAGTCAAAAAATAAGATAGCCATTATCTTGTAATAATCAAAAAAAAATGTCATTATAGCTAAACTCTATAAAGCTGCTTAGCAAGTGAGGGAAATAGAAACGCAACAATATTATCCTTCTTTAAGTCAAGGATTTTTTCTCTCTCTTTTAGAATATTTTCTCTTTTAGAAAATTCTAGGTTCATGATGGCACGATGGTTTACTGCTGAGAAAAAAATAATAATCTAAACCTGAAAACCCCGAAAGTTAGACCGACCATCAGGCTGGTCTAACCTGAGGAGCTTTTAATGTTAGGAAGGCCCCACTCAAGCTCTTTGGGTTTTTCCTCGCCCTCCGGGCCAGATGAGTTTGCCTCTGGAAGTGACTCTAGCCCAGTGTTTCTCAACCTTGACAATTTTAAGGCATGTGGACTTCAACTCCCAGAATTCCACAGCCAGCAATGCTGGCTGTGGAATTCTGGGAGTTGAAGTCCACATGCCTTAAAATTGTCAAGGTTGAGAAACACTGCGGGTTAGCCTGTGTGACCTTTGACTCCACCTACAGTTCACAAGACCATCGTGGCCCTGAAGCTGCCGGTCCCCACCCGACCCCACCCGCCCTTTATGGACACCAGGCTGTCAGCCCGCGCCATGAGCTACGCCAATGTGCCAGGAAAGAAGAGAGGACGGAAGAGGCCACTGCGCAACCCCCCGAGGCATCCCCTAGAACCCTCCGTCTCCTCCCCGTCCCCTTGTGAGGCTTAAAAATGGGCGAGGAAATGGGAAAGTCCCCGGCTCTCCAAACAAACACGACTCACCGGGCCCCGCTGTGTACTAACGGTGGTCGCCATGGCGCCACCCGCAGACTCCCTTCTGCTCTCGCTGATCGGCCGAGGCTCCGACAGGAAAGCTCGGCTGATTTCTCCTCCGTTTCTCTCTCGCCACGCCCCCAAAGCTACCGCTATTTAGCACTGCGCTTGCGCCCGAGGCTCCCTTGGCAGCCGGCGCCGCCGGGCGAACCGCTATGTGGCCAGGCGCATGCGTCAAAAAAAGAGGAAATTCCGGTCTTAGAACGTCGTTTTGCCTCGGTCATTTTCCACCGGCCTTTTGTGGCCGGTGACGTCGAGATCCCCTGATGGGTTTTTCGGAGGGAGCGCGGTACTAGGCGAGGATTCCCACGGAGGGCGGGAGGTACGGAGGGCCTTACTCAGGCTCGGCCGAATGTTATGTACGCAACGCCGCCGTAGAGATAACGGAAATGATTTGAACGTTTCAGCTACTCGGCTTTCTTCTTCGCCGTTATGACGTCACTAGCGCCAGGCACTTCCTCAGAATCAGACCTCGCGAGTAGAAGGCTAGGGTCCCGTTGCCTTGACCGCCAGGAGTCATCCGATTGGTTGGCAGAAGCGGGTGGGCGGGGCAAGATACTTTAACGCTGACTGAAAAGTTGACGCGAACGAGATGTTTTTCGTTGGGGGTTTTTTTTTGGTCATTGGAATTGCCCCCCCCTCCTTTTGGGGGGGGGGAATTGGCGGGCTTTGCGACTGCCTTAGAATCGCTCTTCGTCTTTCCAGTCACTCCCGAGAGGCAAAAAGAAAGATGTATGCCGAAATAAACAGTACAAAACCCGAGCTGTCGTGTTTGAGGAGCGTTGTAGCTTTGTCTCCGTGCAACACAAAATAAGAATTAAGGTGATGGAAAGAATCCCACAGACGGGGGATGTTTAAGAAGGGCTTTTTTCGAAGTAAGCACCAAGAGAAAGGGTTTTAGCTGCAGAGAAATGTTTACTTTAAAAGAATCGCATGGATCAAAAAATATCCTTTTCTAGCTTGCTGCAGTTTGAAATATAATTCTATCATTTTTCCTACATGCCTAATTTTGGGCTTAGGGAGGCTGTTTGGCATATAGTAGTAAATGCTAATGCAGAGTGCAGTTCTTGTGTCTGGGTCAGACAGGGTTGCAGTCCAAAATAATGGGAAGGATGTGGCATATATCCTTTTCAACTACTGCAGGGGTCTCCAAACTTGGCCCTTTTGTGACTTGTGGACTTCCAGCTCCCAGAATTCCTCAGCCAGACACTGGCTGAGGAATTCTGGGAGTTGAAATCCACAAGTCATAAAAGGGCCAAGTTTAAAGACCCCCTGAACTACTGTATCAATAGACAGCCATGAATTAGAATATCAGCTGTAGTTACCAAATCAGAATATCAGCTGTGGGTTACTAAGTCAGTCTGTTGGCTGACTGCTTAGTACCAAACATGTTCATTCCCTTTATTATCTTGTGCGCTATATGATGAACACTTAAGGCAAAAAACAAATGTAAACAGAACCAAAGGTGGCAAAGGCAGCTGGGAATGGGTGGTCCTGAGGCATCTGTGTTTCTGTGCCCTGCTTTGCATTAAGCCTAAAATACTAGAATGCAAATTGGCGTAGAACTAACTCGGAACATTGATTTCTCCCTTAAAGTATGAATGAAATGACTGCTGCTTCAAAATCACTTTTTTGTTTACCTTCTGAAGTGTTCACCTCTTCTGCAACTCCTGTTTTCAGCAGAACAAAGGCGTTGTAATCTAAGCGATGTATTGGGAAACCTAGTCTGATGATTTCAAAGTTATTTAAATAATATAACTTTCATGTTGCCAAGATTGGCAATCATTTAATTAAAATTCATATTTCGCATCCCATCAACCAGAAAGAGAATAGGGCAATTAGAGGTTTCGACATTTGTAATGGATAATTTATGTGACGTACAATAAAAACACAAGTTGCAGGTACCTGTGTTGTTATGCTGGCTTAAGTAAATTGATTACAATGTAGTGCAATTGAACAAAGATAACATCAGATTTTAGCTGACGGGGATTTTATCATTTAGTCTGCTATGTATAAAAGTAAAGGTTTCCCCTATCCAGTTGTGTCCAACTCTAGGGAGGGGTGCTTATCTCCATTTCCTAGCCGAGGTAACCAGTGTTGTGCAAAAATGCTTCTGTGATCATGTGACCAGCATCACTACACACCAAGGCGCACAGAACACTGTTATCTTCCCACTGGTGGTACTTATTTATCCACTTGCACTTACATGTTTTAGAATAGTTAAATCTTAAAGTATCAGATGGGATGAAAATTTCAAGGGAAAAACATTTTTCCCAAAATTTGTCATCCTGAAAAAAAATTATATGTAATTTTATTTTAAATGATATATAAATTACTGAAGTTGAAAAATATGTTTGAAATACACTAAATCAAGGAGCAAATTAATATAAGAGCTAGAAAAGATAATATAAGAGCTTGTATTAGTCTAGGACAAAAGTCAGTTTTCAGAAGACAACCAGCAATCCTTAGATTGTAGATTCTAATTCCACTTGTAACAAAAATTGCAAACATTTTAATGTAACTTCAACTGATGAAGTTTAATATGAGACAAGTTATAAATTTAACATTATACACGAATAGTTTTTAAACAATCCAATTTTATGTATTAAATTTATTTCCCACCCATGTCACGGTCACCTGACTCTGAGCAGCCTATAAACAAATGTATATATCGTTTTGAATAAAATAGATAAATTGGTGTAACCAAGTGACAATACAAATGTAAAATACATTTAAAATGTGTATTTTAGAAAGAAAAAAAAGTAAAGTTTCTGTAAAAACAAATGATGATTATCCAAGAATCTTTTATGATACTTCTGCAAGGCTTAAACTTGACTTAGAGGGCATTTTCCAGTTTATTTCAACCTAGGATTTTCTTCCAGAAAGGCAGAATTTAAGGAATAGTTACAGTCACGGTTGTCCATGGCTAAATTGGATAACAGCGTGAGGAATTGCCAGAATGCAGACATGCTGAGAGGGTGCAAGTTACAAATTCTCTATAAACATAGTATCTTAACATCAAAGCTGAAGTTGTCCCTAGGCACAAAATTTTCAGACACATTGATCCAAACTTAATTAGCCTACAAATTTAACTTCCATCATTTAATCAGCTGAAAAAATTAACCATGCAAGTGTGGTTACAGTTTGTTAGTACAGCATAACAGGCAGAGATTTTGAATAATTTTGCTTGGGTTGCAGGCTTCAAAGTTAATTTTATAGCACGATCATTTAGGCACTGACTCTTGAAAAAATGCTACACATTTACTCAAGACTCTAGTGTGGTTAAAATAAAACAAAACACACCATGCTGAAAAACACAAAAAACAAGTAGCCAAATTATCTTGAGAACATCAAATATACTATCAGATCTTGAGTTGGTTCTTAGTTGCTTGTCATTCTTTGTTACCTGATGGAAATAGTTGCACCAGGATTGATTATCACTGATTGCTTCTTTGACTCCTTGAAGCCCATGCTTGTAACACCAGTAATAGTATCCAGCCACTTTGTTAGGTTCCTATTCCATTGCCTTTGATTTTTCCATGCATTGAAGTCTTCTCTAGGGATTCTTGTCTTTGCATTATTAAATATTAAAGCTGTAAGCTTCCTTAATTCCACAGACCAGGCTAATTTTACTTCGTCCAATAGTGAATGTTTTGTTCCTTGAGACCAAGGTATTTCTGGCATTTCTCCTGGGATTGCAATTCAAAGCCTCAATTTTTCCTTTTTTTATCCTTTCTGAAGATCCAGCTTTTTCATAGATATATATTACAACTGGGAAAATTATGACACTTAAAATATTTCATTGTCAGTATATCTCTGCATTTTAGTTTGCCTCTTATAGTCCCACCGAAAGATCAGGCCTCTCTCTTTCTTTCACGACTACAGTCTTTACTCCTGTAATGTAAATAGCTCAAGCCAGAGAAAAACATAAAACACTAAAGTTGCTGGAAAATGTCTCAGTCCTACATGCCACATTACAAGTATAATAAAAGGAACCAATTTAGTGTAGTGGTTAAGGTGCTAGTCCAAAAATCAGGAGACTGTGAGTTCTAATCCAGTCTAAGAGGTTGTAGGAGGACAGCACACACACACACACACACACACCGGAGAAAGAAATATTTTGAGAATATTAAAAGGCAGAATATTGTATTTCCCCCAAAGGATCTTAAAGGCAGAAAAGCAAGCCCAGTTTGTCTTAATAGCCCCAAGCAGAAACTAGGCAGCAGCCAGCTTTTAGAAATGCAGATGTGATAATCCTATTCAGAAAGGTTGGAGCCAGGAAGCTAGAAGCTGATGAGATTAGAAAGACAAAGACCCCTAAAATCTACATCACCCACCCAAACCCTAACGAAACATGACCTTTAGGACATAATAGGATTAATCCACCGATACCAAAAAGGACACACTCAAAAGAACCTCAGGTCAAAGTTCATGCCACAGGAACAAGAACTCCAAATACAAAAGCCCCAGAAGGTAAAAAAAACCCACCACTCCCAGCAACATGTGGTCAGCTGCTCCAGAGCCTCATGTCTTGGTTCTGCTCGTCAATAAACTACAACCTTCTTTCTAAAGCAGTCTCCATTTTGTTTATTCCCGGCTTGGACTGGACCCTGATGAAGATTTTTCTTTCAACAGGGTGAAAGCCAGCTGGGTGACTTTGGGTCAGTCATTCTCTCTCAGCCCAGCCCACCTCACAGGGTTAGTGTGGGGAAAATAGGAGGAGAAAGGAGTTTTGTGAATGTTCCCTGCCTTCAGTTATTTATAAAGTAATAAAGGTGGGGCAAAAATCAAATAAATGGGCACTGTACCAGTCCATCAGACATATTATGAGGGGTATATCATTATTTTTCACACACACACTAAGAAAGCTACTGAGTATTTTTTGAAGTTAATAGGAAGAGTGGAAATCACCACTGCCACCTGCTGAGAAGTTCAGGAAACTGTTAGTATTATGAATAGTTGTGACAGGTGTTGCTATATTTTCCAATTGGAATTCCAGGGGAAGCAGAAACTAGTGGTGCAGAAAAGCATCTGATGAATTCATAATAACTTTGGTGATTAAATTGAAAATTGAAGCCATGGGAAAGATGAG